CCCCCTCTCCAAGCCCATTGGCCGCTCTGCGGCCGGCGGCTGACGCCGAGTAAATAGCGGGCCCGGCTGCCGGGCGCAGTGCGTGACACGCGGCGCGCTGCTCTGCGCAGGCGCAACGGCGGGGCGGGGAGGGGCAGAGAGGGCGGGGCGGGGCGGGGCTAACGGACGCTTGCGGGCGTGGTTCGTTGTGAGGCGGCGATGGGCGCCGCGCTGAGGCGCTGGAGCGGGAAGTGGACGTCCTGCGGGAATATATGTGTGTGTGTGTGTGTGTGTGTGTGTATATATATATATACACACACACACACATACACATACACACACATATATATATATATATAGGGATAGGTATATACACATGCGTATAGTCCCTGTATATTCCTTTCTTGGGACTCCATTGTTCCTTTCCGGACGTTCCGTTCCTACAGTATTGTCATTGAGGTTGCTACTGCTATTTCCAGCTGTAGGGAAACAGATGAAGCAAAAGTTTTCAGTCCAGAAACAATTTATGTTTCATGATCTGTTCTGTTTCCTATAATGTTACTTTCAGTAAACATCAGTCTGGGGAAAAAAGAAATGGAAGCGCTTGGAGCCACATCTTCATCTTTAAACTTATTTTATGATTTTCCAGACTCGCCCCTGATTTTTTTAATATAATTTTGAAATCTCGTTATTTCCTCAACATAATTGCTGTGATCTCTTCCTTGTTTTGTTTTGTTTTCTTTTGTTTTGTTTTTTTTCTCTGCCTGTCCAGGAAGGTTCAGGCAACTTGTGCAGGTGCTTCTGGAGCAGGATTGTGTGTGTGAATATGGAGCTGTTCTCACTGATTGACTGGAGGAAGAAATCACCACGGAATAAAAGACACGKAATATTGCCTTTTCCAGAACTTGCCCTGTGACCTTGAGACTGAAATCTAGAAAATCATAGTTGCCTTCTCCCTAATCTATCTTCTGAAAAATCACCTGTTGGCTGCTTAAAGCTGCTACCTTATGTACTATGTCATATGCTACTGTATATGCTACATCATATATACAAATTGAATGAATCCCTTTGCTGGTTGTTGTGAAACTGTGGTGCGAAAACCCTGGCCAAGCAAAAGCCTTGGATGCACGTGCTGCTGGGTCTGCACTTCCTTATGATAAAGGCATCTCTTAAGGTTATTAGATGAAAAGTTAGTCAGGGACCTTCGTGTTTGACTTTTCTTATTTCCCTAAATCTGTGCTGTTTTAATGCATCAAATAATTTCATGGAATCGTGGTGTCACATCAGTGATGGCAATTTTAAGCAGTTCTCTTGAGCAACCTCACGTAAGACTTCATGAGTAAAGATTTCATATACCACCATGCAAATAATTAAAAGCACAAGAGAATTTCCAAATTCATGTTTGTGAATTTGTGTGAAAGATTAGTAAAAACAGGAAAATTCAACACATCCTTTATATGGGAAGAACGTTATTCAGATACTGTCCGAGCAGCTTAATTCCTTTCTTTCCATAGAAAGCAAAAATGCACACAACAAGCTGATAAAAGGAGCATCTTTCTAGCAGAGTTCGAAATTCCTATGATACAAGAATTTATGTTAAAAATGTTCCATATRAAATGTATCTATATTATAACTGTTTCATTTTGACTATATATAATAAACATAGCAGAGCTCTAATGATTTAAGGAATTACTAAGTAGTTGCTTTTTGCTGTGTCTTCAGCCAAAACTGAAATTTACTGTGCGTGTGTCCTGCGTATATATCTACACCAAGYTTGTTTTATATCTATATGTATTTGTGGTGATAGATGTGTCTACCTTATCCTAATCTATTAATGGCTTTTCTATATAAAATTGCTGTGTTTTATTGTGTTTTATATTGACATTGAAGAGGCTGCTATCATTGATTGAACATGAATTCTTGAGAGCTTGCACTCGTCTCACCTTGAGCTTGTTATGATTTATTATTTGCTTTGCAAAAATATAAATAAAAATTTGTTGCCACAGGTTATGGAAATACAGATAGTTGCGAATCTTGTGGTAACTGAATCAATGGTCAGGTAATTAGTGTGTGCTGAGCTGCAGAATGCAGTTGCTCTGGTTTTTCTCCTCAGTGAAAATCCTCTCTGCTTCAATTCAGAGACCACCATTCACAAGAATCTCCCTGCCAAGATCCCTGTCTTTCACTCAGTCCAACAGGAGTAATTTAGGATAATTGAGGAGCTTTGTTTTACTAGATATGTAATATTTGGATCAGAGCTAGGAAGAATGGAGCTGGAAGGGACTTCAGGAGGTCATAGTCCAACCTGGTGCTGAAAGGAAGATCAGCTCTGAGGTCAGACCAGGTTGCTCAGGCTTTGACCACTTTGGAAGCCTCCAAAGTTCCATGGTCCTCCATGGATCCCGCTCAGCATCCCGAGGCGACCTGCTTCACTGCTTGAGTTGGTTGCAGTTTGGATTGCTCTTCAGAAATAAATACAGTGTTGGAGCAGAAATTGAGTGTCATCTGCTTTGCCAATGATGCTCATGGTAGTATATTTTTACTTTTCTTTCCAGGCACAACGAACCAATGTTCATGTTTCAAAAATTCATTTCTTAATATTTGGACAAAGACAGATTTTAATCTGCTGAGCAATGTGCAGACTCGAAGATGGGGAGCAGACTTAATCTTCATTTCTATGGCAGAGTTTTATGTAATTAAGAATTCTAAATGCCAGACYTAGGCATTCTGGTAGGTACATTTCATGTATACGTGAGCAATGCCCTTAGTTCTCTGAAACCGTTTTTTCAGTAGAACAGAAAAACAATTACTGCAAAATTTTGTAATTATTCATATCACAGCTGTGTAAATAAGAATTGATTATCAGAGCTGTTGCAGTGTGAACAGAGGAAGTGATTAATGAAGGCTTCTTGATAAGACGCAAATATTTTATAGTATAAATCACAGCAAGCTATGTCTATTTAATAGAGGCAGTGGGAATAAGTGGGAATAAGTTGGGCCTCATCAGCATATTTAGTTAGCTGAAAACAAAACTTCCTTTTTTTTTCAGACTGAAAAGGACCTTCTAGATAAAAGAGCTCCAGCAGATTCTCCCTAACTAAGAGGTAATATGAATCGTGAGGAGTCGTCACAAAATATACATGTTATCTAGCTGTTAATTGACAGCCTCCTGAGCAGGACGTGCTGGCAGCCTCTCAGCCCATTGCAAGATGTCTCTTTYGGGGTTTGAAGATGTCTCTTCAAAACACATCAGTGTCACCCTCACGCCGTTGTCAGCTCTACAGGCGCTCGCGGTGCTGCTGGAGCAGCTGGGCTTGCTGCACTGCATCGCTCTTCATCCATAAAGACCGACCTGAGCTATTTAATTAGTGTACTAGGTATAGTAGTGCTGTGTAACCAACAGTGCTAAATATTTTTTATGATCTTCATTTTCATCTGAAGAACAAATGGAAGTAAAAACGTGGCACAGAAGTAGCGTAAGTGACACTTCAGCAGCTCATAGTAGCTGCTCAGTGGCAACTTC